GGTAAAATCGAAGAACGTATGCAGATGACGCGATGTTATCGGTGCTGGGGTTACGGACATGCAGCGAGTGAATGTTTAGAAGAAATAGATAGAAGAAATACATGCTATAAATGTGGGAAAGAAGGGCATCAAGCCGGGCAGTGTAACAACGAGGCAAAATGTCCACTTTGCGAAAAAGAAGGGCACACAGCGGGTAGTTCAGCATGTAAGATCTTCAGAATAGCATTAAAGGAAGCTAAGAGAAGTGCGGAGGCTCCGCAAAAACTAAACTGAAATGGCGCAAATAAACAAAATACCGCTCACCAAAATGGTGACACAACATAGGTTCCTACAAGTGAATCTAAACAGATCAGCCATGGCCATGGCACTTATGAGAAAGACCATAGAGGAAAAAAATATAGATCTGGTGCTAGCCCAAGAGCCAAATATAAAGGCACTGGGAACAAGTGATATATACTGTGATACTAAACAAGATGCTGTGATAATAGTCTGTGATATTTTCAAATCGAATGTGAGTGAATGTGGAAAAGGGCCAGGCTATGTGTGGGTCCGAATAGAAGATACTCTGTATTATTCGTGCTATTTTTCTCCCAACAAGAGCAATCAACAATTTTTGTGCTTTCTAGACAAGTTACAGAGAGATATAAAAGGAAAAAAAAATACAAACAAAATGATAATTTCGGGGGATCTAAATGCTAAATCTAAAACATGGGGAGCTAAATACACAGACAGTAGGGGGAAGATACTAGAAGAATTTATAGCCGAGGCAGGGCTTTGGATAATAAATGTTGGCAATAGACCAACATTCCAAACTGAAAGAGGATCGTCGGTCATTGATATTACACTAGCCACAGAAATGGTCGCGAAAGAAATCTCGAACTGGTATGTAGATACAGACAGCGAGAACTTAAGTAACCACAATAACATCTTCTATACAAGGAATAAACAGACAAAAAGAATCCAAGAACCGGAAAAAACTAACAGTTGGATACTAAATACAGCAGGGTTAGAAAAAATAAAAAAACAAATAGCCGAATACTGGGATTTTCCAATAAATGCTGACTTAAACGAGAAAGTGAAATATTTAAGAGAGACTATAAAAGAAGTGTGCAATAATTCCCTGAGTAAGACAAACAAAAGCAAAAGAAGGCCACCAGTCTACTGGTGGAATGCAGAAATTGCGGAGCTAAGAAGAACCACCATAAAAAAGAGACGAGAAATGACAAAAACAGGAAGGGACATAAATATTGAAGATAGGAGAAAACAAGCAGAAGTGGCATATAAAAAAAGCTAAATTGAATCTTAAAATAGCTATAAGAAAAGCAAAAAGCGATGCGTGGAAAAGTCTATTACTGGAGATCGACGAAGATAGATGGGGGAAAGGATACAAAATCATAACAAAGAAGTTTAGAAAGTGTACGCCAATCCCAGATGAAGAGACTGAAGAAGCACAAATTAAGAAATTATTTCCTTCAAAGCCACAGATAACGTGGGATGAACCCGAATACACAGAGCAGCAGCCAAATTTTACCGTAGAAGAACTTAAGGAGGCATTAAGCAAATGTAAAAATAAGAAAGCTCCCGGACCAGACGGTATAAAAATAGAAATAATAAAAGCGGTAGCCGAGGGAAATTACCACCTGCTATTGGATTGTATAAACAGCTTATGGCAAAAAGGGGCATTTCCGACGGAATGGAAAATAGCCAAACTAGTGCTGATAGAGAAACCCATGAAACCTGAAATGCAAAATAAGGAATTTAGACCAATATGTCTCTTAAATAACATTAGTAAATTGTATGAAAGACTAATAAAAACACGACTGGAAAACGAAATACGCGAAAACGGGGATCTGTCGGAACAGCAATACGGATTCAGATGCGGGAAGTCAACTTTAGACGCAATCAAATATGTGATGCAAAGAGCTGAAGAGACAAACAAAGTGGGATATAAAAACAGGGGATTTTGTCTCCTAGTTACGTTAGACATTAGCAATGCATTCAATTCAGCCAGATGGGAAATTATAGTAGAAGAACTGATCAACAAAAAAATAGGTAGTCATTTAATAAAGGTGATACAAAAATATCTGACAAACAGGAAAATAAGAACAAGTAGAGGACGAGTACAGGAAATAACATGCGGAGTCCCCCAAGGTTCAGTGCTAGGGCCAATATTGTGGAATGTATTGTATGACAGAATCTTAAAAATAAAATGTCCAAAAGGAACTAGTTTGGTCGCATTCGCAGACGATCTCGCGGTGGTGGTGTGTGCAAAAAGCGAAATAGAAATGCAAGAAAAAGCCAAAGACGCAATTCAATTAGTGAAAAATGAGCTGGACAAAATGGACTTAACATTAAATCTTGAAAAGACAGACGCAGTTCTACTGTCGGGGAGGAGAAAACTACCGGAATTAAAAATAAAGATATCGGAAAATTTTTACGTCAAAACACAAAAAAAAATAAAATACCTCGGACTAGTAATAGACAAAGACCTTAGAATGGCAGCTCATGTAGACCATGTAGTTAGCCATGCAGAGAAAAAAGCCGTTGCAATAATGAGGCTTATGCCAAATATCGGAGGCCCCGGAGACACCACTAGAAGGATATATGCGACGGTAGCCAAATCGGTAATTATGTACGCAGCCCCCTTATGGATGAAAGTGTGGAAAACAAAAATCTACAAAGAAAAACTGGAAAGGCTAAACCGACGTCTGGCCATAAGGGTAGCCAGGGCATACAGAACGGTTAGACACAGTGCAGTATTGGTAATAGCGGGTTTGCCACCACTAGAACTCCTGGCCATAGAAAAGGAAGACATAGAGAAAGGTAAAAGCAAGGAAATGAGCAGAAGAGACCTACTAACAAATTGGCAAGCGAGGTGGAACGAAGAAAGGTGTTGGACAAAAGAGTTGATAAACAACATTGAGCCTTGGATAAACAGAGGACATGGAGAGCTAAACTACAATCTGAGCATGGTGTTAACTGGACATGGAACCTTTAATACATATAGAAAAAGAATAAAAAAAGATGAAACGGGTCTGTGCTGGTTCTGTGAAGAGGACGTAAAGGATACCCCCGAACATACAGTATTTGAATGTAAAAGATTTAAGGAAAAAAGGCTAGAGCTAAACACGAAAATAAAGGATAGTATATCGAAAGAAAACATGACAAACATGATGATAAAGAGCGAGAAAAACTGGAACGACATAAACAAATATATAAATGACATAATGGACGTAAAAAGAGAGAAAGAAAGAAGTATAGAAAGGAAAAAATAGTGAGACCGAAGGCAGGCCAAAGAAATGTCCTAAGGACGGTACTGGCTGTCTTCAGAAGAATGGGGAGGGGTTCATCCTTAGTGGCAAAATTTTTCTAAAAAAAAATCCTTAGTGGCAAAATTGTGTCGAAAAAATTTTTAGGGTTCCAAATTTATTTTAAAGGGTCCTAGAAAATTTTGAAATTTTCGAAAAATGTTTCTAAGTCCAAAATTTTTTTCCTTAGTATCACTAGTAATTTCTAAAGTTTCAAAATAATTTTCCGAGGGTCCAAAAAAATTTTCTGATTTTGGAAAAATTTTTCTAAGTCCAAAATTTTTTTCCTTAGTATCAAAAGTATTTTCTCTTTCGTCAAAAGTAATTTGTGAAGGCCTTGGAAAATTTCAAAATTTTCGAAAAATGTTTCTAAGTCCAAAATTTTTTTCCTTAGTAACAATAGTAATTTCTAAAGTGTCAAAAGTGTTTTCTCTAGTGTCAAAAGTATTTTCTCAAAGTCTTGGAAAATTTTTAGATTTTCGAAAAATGTTTCTAAGTCCAAAATTTTTTTCCTTAGTATCACTAGTAATTTCTAAAGTCTCAAAATCATTTTCCAAGGGTTCCATTGAATTGAATTTTTTTTCCTTAGTGTCAATGGAAATTTTTAAAATGTCAAAATATTTTTCTCAGGGTCCCAGAAATTTTGTAGATTTTCGAAAATTTTTTCCAAGTTCGAAATTTGTTTCCTTAGTATCAATAGTATTTTTGTCGGTGTCAAATGTATTTTTTTAAGCTCCTAGAAAATTTTTTCAAAGTCCAAAATTTGTTTCATCAGTTTCAATAGTATTTTCTCTAGTATCAAAAGTGTTTTCTGAAGGTCTTGGAAAATTTTGAAATTTTCGAAAAATTTTTTCAAGTCGACATTTTTTTTCCTTAGTGACAATTGTAATTTTTTTATTGTCAAAAGTATTTTTTTAAGGTCCTAGGAAATTTCTAGATTTTCGAAAAATTTTTCAAAGTCCAAATTTTTTTTCCTCAGTCACAATAGTAATTTTTTAAATGTCAAAAAATTTTTTTTAAGGTCCCAGGAAATTTCTAGGTTTTCGAAATATTTTTCGAAGTCCCAATTTGCTTCCCTCAGTAACAATAGTAATTTTTTAATTGTCAAAATAATTTTTTTAAGGTCCCAGGAAATTTCTAGATTTTCGAAAAATTTTTTTAAGTTCAAATTTTTTTTCCCTAGTGACAATAGTAATTTTTTAAGTGTCAAAAGTAATTTTTGAAGGTCCTAGGAAATTTATGGATTTTGGAAAAAAATTTCAAAGTCCAAAATTCATTTCCCTAGTATCAATAGTAATCTTTTTTTGTGTCAAAATAATTTTCCAAGGGTCCCAGAAAATTTGTGGATTCTCGAAAAATTTTTCTAAGTCCAAAATTAATTTTCCCGAGTCTGAAAATAATTTTCCTGAGTTGCAAAATAATTTTCCAAGGATCAAAATTATTTTTCAAGGATCTACGTAATTTAATGAATTTCGAAAAAATTTTCCAAGTCCTCGATTAATTTTCCTTAGTGACAAAATAATTTTTTTTGGATCCAGTGAATTTTCCCACTCCCGAGTCTCTAGAAAATTTCCCGAGTTTCTAAATAATTTTTCAAGACTCAGAGAAATAATGCAATTCTCGAAAAATTTTCCAAGTCTCGAGATTATTTTCCTTAGTGTCAAACAGTCCACTATTATTAAAAATCAGCAGTTTACGAGTCCCAGACATTTTATTCAAGCCCTTCAGGTTACAGGTTTGAACATGCATTAAATTTGAGAGTGATATTACAAGTCAAGATAAAAATTCGATGGTAACATAACATGCCATGATCACAACTCAGTCAATTACAAGATTCTCTTAATTCTAACATGCAAAAGGGCTCCAAGGAGGGTCAGAGGGGTGCCCCGAGGAAGGTCCTTCGTCTTCAGTGTGGTCTGAATAGCCCCAAGGAATTTTTTCAGATCGATCAGCTGTCACAAGGGGCGGAAAAAAAGTCACCCCAGGGGTTCCTCTCCGGTATTGGCTTATGCTCCCTTCCTCGACGATTCTAACGCCGTCTATTTCATCCCCATCGGTCCAGCCGTTTTCGAGTTATTCCAATTTCAATTTCGAAAAGTACGCCTCTCCGACGAATAAATTCCGTTCCCTGTTAACAGACAAGACCATGCAATTACGGTTCGTACGATCAAAGGTACTCACCCGCAGAGTTCACGAGGGGGCTCCGAAGGTGAGTTGAGCATTCGAAAACTCCTAGGAAAGCCGTAAAATGGAAAAAGCGTTTTCATCCCGGAATCGAAGTGACAAGTGACAGACTCAGTCGGTAATGCAGTTTTCTGTTTAATACGGTACTTGGGTGGATTTTATGCATTTCCAAAAATTTATCCTTAAGTTAACTTAAACGACTAGCAAGGATACCGGGAAGACTTCTCCGATCCCTCCTCGATCTCCAGGTGACGCAGTAAGTTTCGACTTAACCCTCCGTTTCGGACTCGGAAAGAAATCCATCGAGTGTAAAATTCGACCGACAGTTCAGATTCTTCAGGCAGCTACAAAAGCACAAGGAGCGAGAGAAAGCAAAAGAGTGTATTCATACCATCCCTCAAACTCGCCAGGCTCGGCTCGAAGTCAGAATTTCCGTCTTTTCTCATCGATCAGCCGACACAAGGGGGCTAAAAAAACTCAAGTCGGAGGTTGTTTTCCAGTATAGTCCTTTTCTCCCTTCCTCGAGGATTCTAACGCCGTCGATTTCGTCTCGATCCCTCCGGCCGTTTTCGAGTTATTCCAATACGAATTTGGCAAAGTCCGCCTCTCCGACGAATTAATTAGGCGGTGGATTTTCGTCAACCCCGACAGGGGACGACTATCACATCGAGGACAACAAGTTCACGGCAACTCACCGGGACGACTTCTGGGGCCCCCATGTCCTCGAGACTCTCGAAAACACCTAAAAGAGCACCAAAGCGTTAGCTCGAGTGGCACAAGAGTGAAGTACCAAAAGTCGGCGAGAGATGGCAAAAGTCGTTCCGGCCGACTGACGGACGGAGGAAGAGAATGTATATAAGAAATAGGGGGGGGAGGCAAGGGGCGGTTTTCGACTTATCGACTTAACGACGATACGACGAACTGAACTGTACTCTGGAGTTCCTCAGTGAACGAATTATGGCCGTGGCCGGCATAGGAGATGCCTGTAAGGGGCTCGAGTTTGACATATGTCAATCGCTCGCAGCCCCCACGCTAACCGGGGCCCCCCGGCAAACATAAACGAGTCGGTCCTTAAGTACAGGGGACATAAGGTCGTCGTCGCAGTCACCGAGGTGCTGCCGTTCGTCCGATATACATATACATATACATATACATACACATACACATACACATACACATACACATACACGACGGACGACAGCCCCCCGAAAGACAGGCAGCAAAGACTTCGAAAAGACAGACGCCCGTGATAGAGCCCCCTTAAGACCGAACTCGTCCCTAAAGACGTTCGACTTGGCAAAAATGTCGGTCGAATGTTGTTATTAGTCAATAAACAATATGTAAATCCTTTCGATGGTCAGTTAGCAAGGAGCCCCATCGTTATCTCCCTCCGAGACAGCCCCGATGGCCCCCAAAAGACTTAAAGTTCTCGAGACAACTTGATTCGTGGATACGTTCGTCGATTGTTGTTATAGACTGATGGATAAACAATCGACGAACTGTCCATAACGAAAAGGCTCTATCGTTATCTACCCCCAAAGACACCACCGATAGCCCCCAGAAACATTCGACCTTGAAATAAATTTAATTTGTTAATATCTGAGTAGATTGTTGTTATAGATCTATAAACTAGACGTCAATCTCTTCGAGGGTCGACAATGAAAGAGCCCCATCGTTATCTCCCTCCGAGACGCCCCCGACAGCCCCCAAAAGACTCGATGTTCTCGAGACGAGTTAATTTGTCGATAACTTTGTCGATTGTTGTTATCGATCGACAAATTCGACAGAAATAGTTTCTGCGGTGCACGATCAAAGATCCCCAGGATCGAGTTTGCCCCAGGAAGCCCCCTTTCGCTCCACAAACAGCTCCCGAGACTTAACCTCAAAACGACTTTTTAATTTGCCCATATCTTTGGAAATAGTTAACGTTAATTGACCACTCCGGTACCGAACGAAAGAGCTAAGGTTTCTTCATCCGTCTTGAAAAAACCGAGTGCCTTTACGTCCTGGTTTCTTCGAAAAACGTATAAAACGCTATTTTTTACTTGAAATCGTTAAAATTAGTGTTAAACAATCAGGAACGATACATTAAGCCTGAACAAGACCGAATTATGAAAATCGAACGATTTAAGGTCTTTTTTGCAAATTTTGGCTGCCACGACTCGGCAAACAAAGTCTCGGTCCGTCCTAACAACGGACCTGCATTTATTTCTCGATCTGAGCTCGTTTTAAAATCAAATTTTACATTTTTTGTCCAATTTGAAAGAAACTCGGCCAAAACGTCCCTTCTGCATTCAAATGAAGTATCCTCACAAAAAAACTACCCTCGACTCATTTTTCATCCCTTAAATTGAAAAAAACGTCAATTTTGGACCAAAAAACACCCCACCTCGATTTTCTTTCTTCCCGAAGGACCCAAAAATTTTTTCACCCCCAAAACTACCCCTAAAAAATTTTCAACCCCCGAATTAAAAAATCAAGTTTCGACCCATTTTCATCCCCCGAACTCAAACTTAGATCGTTCGAGATAAAAAAAACCACCCCCGACCCGCTTTTCATCCCCCTGATGGCTCTTCGACCAAAATCAACCCCGCTTCGATTTTCGTAATTCCGACGTCATCGAGTGACAGTCGGACTCGAAAAACTACCCCTCAAAAATTTTCAACCCCTAAATCCAAAAATTTTTTTTTTCAAATTTTCATCCCCCCGACCCAAAAAATGATCTTCGAAGACAAAGAAAACTACCCTCCACAAATTTTCATCCCCTCGAGGCCAAAAAAAACAACCCTTAACCCGATTTCATCCCCTAAATTCAAAAATGATGGAATCTCTTGCACCAAAAAACAACCCTTAACTCATCTTCATCCATTATCCACAAAAACTACCCCTAATTTCAACCCCTAAATACAAAAACAACCCTTATTTTCATCCCCTAGATTAAAAAATTAGCTCTTTTTCACCCCACCCTAAACCCCTCTTTCCCAAAACATCCCGCAGGTTTGAAAGGGGGTCGGAGTTTGGGAAAAATTCGAAAAATGTCGAAAAATCTTGATCTTGAAAATTTTGACCTTGAAAAAATTTCGAAAAATCTTGAAAATTTAGATGTTGAAAATCGCGACCTTGAAAATTTCGAAAAATCTTCAAAAATCTCGATTTTCAAAATCGTGACCTTGAAAAAATTTTCGAAATGTTGGAAATTTTGAAGTTTGATTAATTTTACCTTGAACAATTTCGAAAATCTTCAAAAATCTCGAAACAAATTTTCAAAAAAACCTTCTCTTTTCTCCCCACCCAAAACCCCAACTTCCCAAATGGTCCCGATAGTTTGTCTGGGGGTTGGAGTTTGGGGAAAATTCGGAAAATTATGGAAATCTTGAAAATTTTGGAAATCTTGAAAAATCTTGTTTTTTGGGGAAAAAATCTTTGTTTTTGGGGTAAATAATCTTGATTTTTGGGGTTAAAGTCTTGGTTTTTTGGGGAAAAAATCTTGAATTTTTGGGGTAAAAGTCTTGTTTTTTGGGGTAAAAATCTTGAAAAATCTTGTTTTTTGGGGGGGAAAATCTTGAAAAATCTTGATTTTTTGGGGAAAAAATCTTGTTTTTTGGGGTAAAAATCTTGTTTTTTGGGGTAAAAATCTTGTTTTTTGGGGTAAAAATCTTTAATTTTTTGAGGTAAGAATCTTGATTTTTTGGGGTAAAATCTTAATTTTTCGGGGTAAAAGTCTTGTTTTTTGGGGTAAAAATCTTGAAAAATCTTGAAAAATCTTGAAAAATCTTGAAAAATCTAGTTTTTTTGGGGGGAAAATTGGGGTAAAAATTTTGAAAAATCTTGATTTTTGGGGTAAAAATCTTGATTTTTTGGGGTAAAAATCTTGAAAACAATTTTCAAAAATTTCGATATTTCAACCGTCGATTCTGGAAAAACGGTTGCGGCTATCAAAGAATCGAGGCCGGAAGTGAGTTCTAGAGCTCGAAATCTACAAGAAAATGTACTCAGTTAGGTTTCGAAATTGTCAAAATTTCGGCGAAATTTGAAGAAGGGGGGACCAAATCTTGGTTTTTTGGGGGAAAAAATCTTGATTTTTTGGGGTAAAATCTTGAATTGTTGGGGTAAAAATCTTTATTTTTGGGGTAAAAATCAAGATTTTTTTGGGGTAAGAATCTTGATTTTTTGGGGTAAAATCTTGATTTTTTGGGGTAAAAATCTTTAATTTTTTGGAGTAAGAATCTTTATTTTTTGGGGTAAGAATCTTGATTTTTGGGTTAAAAATCTTGATTTTTGGGGTAAAAATCTTGATTTTTTTGGGGTAAGAATCTTGATTTTTTGGGGTAAGAATTTTTATTTTTTGGGGTAAGAATCTTGATTTTTTGGGGTAAAAACCTTGATTTTTGGGGTAAAAAATCTTGGTTTTTGGGGTAAAAATCTTAGTTTTTGGGGTAAAAATCTTGAAAAAAAATTTCAAAAATTTCGATATTTCTACCGTCGATTCTGGAAAAACGGTTGCAGCTATCAAGGAATCGAGGCCGGAAGAGAGTTCTAGAGCTCGAAATCTACAAGAAAACGTACTCAGTTAGGTTTCGAAAATGTCAAAATTTGGCCGAAATTTGAAGAAGGGGGAACCATTGGAAAATTTTCACTTTTGAAAAAATCTTGGTTTTTTGGGGAAAAAATCTTGATTTTTTGGGGTAAAATCTTCATTTTTTGGGGTAAAAATCCTGTTTTTTGGGGTCAAATCTTGATTTTTTGGGGTAAAAATATTGATTTATTTGGGGGGTAAGAATCCTGATTTTTTGGGGTAAAATCTTCATTTTTTGGGGTAAAAATCTTGATTTTTGGGGTACAAATCTTGATTTTTGGGGTAAAAATCTTGATTTTTTGGGGTAAAATCTTGATTTTTTGGGATAAAAAATCTTGATTTTTTGGGGTAAAAAATCTTGATTTTTTGGGGTAAAATGATTTTTTGGGGTAAAATCTTGATTTTTTGGGGTAAAATGATTTTTTGGGGGTAAAATCTTGATTTTTTGGGGTAAAAATCTTGATTTTTGGGGTAAAAATCAAGATATATTTGGGGTAAGAATCTTCATTTTTGGGGTAAAATCTTCATTTTTTGGGGTAAAATCTTGATTTTTTGGGGTAAAAATCTTCATTTTTTGGGGTAAAAATCATGAAAAATCTTGATTTTTGGGGTAAAAATCTTGGCTTTTTGGGGAAAAAATCTTGGCTTTTTGGGGAAAAAATCTTGGCTTTTTGGGGAAAAAATCTTGTTTTTTGGGGTAAAAATCTTGATTTTTTGGGGTAAAAATCTTGACTTTGGGGTAAAATCTTGATTTTTTTTTTGTGGTAAAAATCTTCATTTTTTGGGGTAAAAATCTTCATTTTTTGGGTAAAAATCTTTAAAATCTTGATGTTTGGGGTAAAAATTTTGAAAAATCTTGAAAAATCTTGAAAAATCTTGAAAAATCTTGAAAAATCTTGATTTTTGGGGTAAAAATCTTGAAAAATCTTCAAAAAGTTTAACAAAATTTCGTAAAAAACGTGACTTTGTGGAATATCTTCATAAATCTTGAAAAATCTTCAAAAATCTTGAAAAATCTTCAAAAAGTTTGGCAAAATTTCGTAAAAAACGTGACCTTGTGAAATATCTTCAAAAATCTTCAAAATCTTCAAAAATCTTTAAAAATCTTCAAAAATCTTCAAAAATCTAAAAAATTCAAAAATCTTGAAAAATCTTGAAAAATCTTGAAAAATCTTCAAAAAGTTAACAAAACTTCGAAAAAACGTGACCTTGAGAAATATCTTCAAAAAATCTTGAAAAATCTTGAAAAATCGTCCATTATCTTCAAAAATCTTCAAAAATCATCAAAAATCTTCAAAAATCTTCAAAAATCTTCAAAAATCTTCAAAAATCTTCAAAAATCTTCAAAAATCTTCAAAAATCTTCAAAAGTCTTC